TATATTTTCTTAGTTCACTTAATCTAGTATTCTTATTAGAATTTAATAATATGTATATAGTTGTGAGGCGCTATTTCACTACAAATTTATAGTTACTGATATGACTTTTTTCTCTGAGTGTACATACGTCCTAAAACTAAGATTCAAAGTAAGAACAAAATTTCGATTCGTAAGTAAATTTACTTCTTTTAAAAAATCAGGGCAAACGTGATTTTTCATTTTGCCTCAATTTTTCTTGAAAATCGATTAATTTGATCTTCGCAACGTATAAAAATTAAATAAATAGGTTACTTGTCTCGGCGTGTCATCCGTTTTTTTCCAAGCACAAGATGCGCGTAACGGTTCACGCGTACATGGACACATTAATCGACGTACGTCGAACCTCAGCTACAACCTTAATGACACGATTGACAGTTTAGCGACTGAAGTGGTGCATCGTTAAACCCGACACCCAACACTCCGGAGGTATCCTATCAACGAGCGATGCAGAGAAGAAAGGATAATGACCCATCTCATCGCGGGAGGTGCAACGATTAGTGCACGATCCCATCCTATCGAGAGCGCGTTCTTTTCCCATGCGATCTATCGATCGTTTTAAAATGCTTTACTTATACGCTGCCGACTCTTGCGTGACTTTATCTCGCGCTTGGAGTAAAAGATCGTTGACGTTAAAATTTATACGAGGTGCTCGAAAAGTAACTATTCTTTCAAAACTGGAGCAACCGGGATATACGAGTCTTTTCAGAAGTGAAACTAATCGACTTTACGAAACAACAAAGCAAGGAAAATTGATAATATAAGGTAAGTCTCTATACAGTAAAAAAAATGTTTTGAATTCTTTGGGTTGAATTCTTAACATACCTGAATGTTAATTTAATATAATGTGATTATATTATTCGAATATTTTGCGTTAAACTGATATTTAATATTTCTTAATATTAAAATAACATAATTTATGAGTAAATAAATAAATAAGATAAAAATAATGTAGTTTTAAAACATATATTATAAATGTCATTTTATTAAATAAATATACTTCCACAATTTGTTTCCAATTGTATCAAAATATTACATTTTTGTGTTAATTTTTACATGTTTATGTTTCTAACATATTCGTCTTGTATTGAATTAATGCAAAAATTTGAGTGGACTATAAAATGTGTTAAATTTAACAAAAATTTTCCAACTATGTGTACAAAATTTTGACATTCGAGCAACCAGTTCAAACGTCTTACATGATTAATGATTTTGATGATTTAATCGAATTATTTCCAGATCTGTGTCTAGCTAAATTTTTAAATAATTTAAATGTGAAATGTTAAATTCAACACAAATTTTCCAATAGTGTAGTGCTAAAATAAGAATATATTAAATCTCTAAAATAAGAAATTTACAGAAAGTGAGATCGATCAGTTTGGCTCGTAGGAGGTTCACACGTGAGTCACAGTTGAACGTTATTGATAACCGAGACTCCGCCGGAAATAATCCTCACGGATCTTCGCTTTGAGATAGCTATACGCGAAGGTATAAGCGTCAGCTTACGACATTGAAGTGGACTATAAGAAAAACGGCGTCGTCGGCACACGTGACTGCACTCGTTAATCAATAATAGTCGTACAATCTGCGGCTCGAGTGATTCGATGTGTATAAACCCCACGATTTCGCCTCCGCGTACGAATGCCGACACAGTCGTTTCAAAATTCGAAGGCCCGTTTCTCATCGTAGGATGCGAGGAAAGTATCGACTCAAGGCCGGCTTGAGATAATCTCCGAGCCGAGATCTATAGAATTGAATTAACATGAGATCTCCCGCCCCTTTCTCCCTTGCTCTTAGAGACGAATGTTCAAATCCTTCGCGTAGGAACGACGAGTCATCGATCGATGACTCGCATTCGGCTGTGACGTTAAATGTGTCATATTGTAAATGACGCGACGAATATATAGGATGTTCTGACGAAAACATGGCTGCACGAAGGCACAGAGTTGCAACAAGCCGTTGCCTATAAATCGAACGATATTAATTCACATAGAAAATACAATCCTATCTTTCCATGCACATCAAGTGTCGTTATGTGTCGAGATTAACACCCGCATTGTGCTAAATAAAAAAGAATAGCAAGCACCATGTGATGTTTGCAAACATCAGCAAACAGGAGGTTGCTGTCTTGTAACCAGGTATGAAACTCAGGATCTGTTTTCTGTGGTCGAACTTGTGTACACTTTTGGAACTTAAAATAAGATAGGTACATGTTCGATTTGGCAAAAGCGAGAAAGAGTTCCAGAACAGTCTACTGCAGGAAGAAAAAACAGACCTCAGGTGAAAATTACAAAAGTAAGCGAATTCATTAGGTGTTGATTAAAAAAATTATAGATTCACTAGAATATTTATACACTGAAAAAAATTTCTGGTTGAAAATGGACGAATCAGAATTTTCTGATTAAATTTATTAGAATTCTAGTTGAGATAACAGGAATTCTGGTTGATACAATATTTCTGGTAAAATCTTATACTAGAATTCTCATTTTTACCAGAATAATTATATCAATCAGAATTCTAATTATCTCAACTAGAATTCTAATAGATTTAACCAGAAAATTCTGATTCGTCCATTTTCCACCAGAATTACTATTTAATCCAACCAGACCATTTTTCTCAGTGTAGTGCCTTTGGAAAAAGGTATTTGTGTCATTCTATCTCCATCGTTTATTATGTGTAAAACAAGGATAGAATGATACAAATAGCGCTAATAACGTCTCCTGGAACGCCTCTATTTTCATTGATCAATCCGTAATAAATTTCATCATTTTTGTAATTTTCATCTGCTTTTAAGATACACACTGAGAAAAATGGTCTGGTTGGATTAAATAGTAATTCTGGTGGAAAATGGACGAATCAGAATTTTCTGGTTAAATCTATTAGAATTCTAATTGAGATAATTAGAATTCTGATTGATATAATTATTCTGGTAAAAATGAGAATTCTAGTAGATTTTACCAGAAATATTGTATCAACCAGAATTCCTGTTATCTCAACTAGAATTCTAATAAATTTAATCAGAAAATTCTGATTCGTCCATTTTCAACCAGAAATTTTTTTCAGTGCATAATTGACCCTCAAGACACACACCGATTAAATTGGAGCAAGATGATTCCGAATCTCGGATAGAAAAGATATTTCAACCTTTGTTCTTCGGACACTTACGACCTTATCGTTCGAATACTTTGAAGTTGTTTTTCCTTTAAGAGACACAAGTATGTATCGTTCTGATTTTATTGAATGAATGAATCATTATTCACATTGAATGCTAAGAAGGATAGAACGTTCGTGTCGATTGTGTCTCCTAAAAGGAAAGCAGCCTGAATAGGCGCAGTCGTCCAGCTCCGAAATCTACAGATAAGGATTTCGATACCTAGAAGGTTTTGCAAAATGTCGCCCGGGGAGACCGGCGCGGAATGTTAACGATACTAACTGCGACCTGTTCGCGGCACAAACGAGAGGATTCCAGGACACTGGCAGATTCCCGGCGAAGGTCCTGCGTGTCCTGGGGACGCGTGTTTACCCGCGACTCCGGAAGAACCCCACCCTCAGCGTTGGCGACGCAACGCACACAGGCAACTTGCACGCACACCGCGACGACGTGGGAACGATGGAATCGCGCCTCGACGAGGAACAGGAAAGACGTCGGCGAGGGAGTGGGCCCGCGTAGGTTCGCGACCGGGACTTGTCATGTTCGCGCGAAACGCATTATTTACTCACGATATACGCGCGTCCCCCAGGTGTCGGGCTCCAGGATGGCCGGCCGGATGATTTCCTCGCGATGATGTCGGACGTCACGCGTCCGTCGCGTCGCGACGCACCACACTCGGTCACTCGGAACCGATTCACAGCGGCCCCAGGACCGCTACTCCGAGAGTCTTCTCTCCACGCGACCACGCAACGGCACCCGTCAAATGTGACACGCGCCCGCCATGTTGCCACGGCGACGCCGGCGCCGCCCGACAGCGCGGCGCCGAAACGGCGCTCGCGCCAACTTCGAACGTACCGACGTGCATCGTAGATTTGTTCTTTACAACTGGAGGTCGATTGCGTATCTTCGAACGACGTGAAAATTACAAATCCGCAAATTTATTACGTGTTGACCAATAAAATTATAAATATTCTAGGTTCGATCACTTTTCTAATTTTCACCTCGTTTCCAGATGGAGCGCCCATCGCGAGAGCTACCCCGGGAAAAAATGTTTTATATATAATAAAATTATATAAAAATGTATATAATTATATACAATTTTATATAATTTTATATAATTATATATAAAATATTTTTCCCGGGACATTTCTGCCACTTTCAAGCTCTAGAGATGACATGAGGCTCTTTCTTTTTAGCTGAACTTTTTGCAGTTCCGCACAGTACATTTTTGTCTCCAACTTGAAGAGAAAAGGAGGAAAGATGGACAGTGTAAGAAGTTCAGCTAAAAAGAACAGACTTATGATTAACGTACGTCAATTTTATGCACATTCGCTAAATATTGTCTTTTATTCATATAGATAGATAATTATGCATGGATATGGATTTGTATTAATATTTGCTAATGTGACGTATGTACATACATTATACATACATAATCATGTCATCTGGCGCGACCTTCGGATGTTTTTAGAAAGGTTAGTACACGATTGTCTGAGGCCGCTAGAGGCGCTACTGTGCTAGAATTTGCTAGATTGATATTATTTTCATCGTTGCTGTTGCCGCGTGTGTTATGTTACGGAAACGGAGGTACGAAGAAGTTTCTGTGAAACGCCAACGTTCGCTGCAATTTCTGTGGTACGTAGAATCCAGTAGAATTGTCTGAATTATCACTGTCCGATCACAATAATCGTCGCGAGTGACAGTTGCGATTAATGGCGTTTTAACTTGCTGTTCGCAGGACACACGTGGGTTAGGATACCATGTGGGTTTCACCTACCAGGACAATTGATTGATATTTTTGTTCGACGAGGACATTTCATACGACCGGATCCCGATGTCGTCCTGAAGACACGCCGACAAGGTTTTGTCAACGGGATCGACGAATTGAAATCCGTAAAGAGGTTAGGTGGCCAATCAAACGGTGCCACATGCTTCTGAATATCGTAAAGTATTAAGCAAGCTTAGAAGAATTTTAACGAGCGACGTGTGCATAACATGAGTATCTGTTTTGTCGAAAAGTTGTAATTAAGGAAGGACGATTTGTAAATTTAAGATTTTTATGTTAAAGATTTGACAAAAACTAGTTTGTCTTTAAATTTAACAAAAAGACTGAAGAGTATGGCGGATCAGAAATTGTTTTCAGAGCACATATATAGTTCCAAATTTCAAGAAGAATTCAAAAAACACTGGCGCTCTCAAGATGATTTTAAGAGCACCAATCTGGAAATCATATCGAAACCTTTCAAAGTATGTAAGATATCAAATTTCTTAAGAGACGAGAAGATCCTAGAGAACTTAAAAAGCGAATTGGAAAGTCATGATTATATGCGCAAAGTCCTTGATCTCTATCAGTTTGAGAAAACTGAGGATCTGCACCACTTCACTGACAAGTATATCCAAATGCTGAACAGCTCTTTTCGAAAAGATCTCATATCGTGGATGAGCCGCAATACAAACATTGAGCTAAACGGAAAGGTTTTGATGTCGAGTGCTCGTTACCATAATACAGACCGTTTATTATGTCACGATGATAACATGGTTGATAGAAGAATCGCTTATATATTGTATCTGACTGATGATTGGTCGGAGGAAGATGGTGGTTCTTTAGATCTTTTTGATATGGACGAAGAAGGCTCGCCTAGGAAGGTAGTGAAATCATTAATTCCAGAATATAACTCTTTGGTGTTCTTCGAAGTAGTGGAAAATTCTTATCATCAAGTAGCCGAGGTATTGGCGCGTGACAAGTGCAGGTGGTCGATCAATGGTTGGTTTCACGGCCCGTTAAGAAAGGATTTCCATAAGTCGCCCAGACAGGAACCAGCCAAAACTTTCCTGGAACCAAGTTCTACCAAAATGAATTTGCACTCCTGGGTTTTCAATGATTATCTGGAACCCAGTATAATGGACCAAATTCAAGAGGATGTCGAGATATCATCTCACACGTTTCTTAAAAGCTTCTTGAAGGAATCTGTGTACCAGCAAATTACGAATGATTTAACGTCGCAGGATATCAACTGGCGGATGATAGGCCCACCAGATATACGTCACTACGAAATAGCTGACGAGCAAACCTTGCCGAAACTATTGAGAGACTTCTGTGATTTATTTAAATCTATCTCCTTCTTTCAATTGTTGAAGAAATATACAGGACTCGATTTGGTGCCGGAGAAAACAAAGAGACCCAAGATGACGTTAGAGTTACAGAGGTGGTCGTCGGGCTGTTATACGTTGTTGTATGACAAATCGTTATTGATAAATACTTCAGACGAGTCAACGCGAGCGTTGACTTCAGATTTCTCGACCAGTGAGGTCAACCTGGACACAAATAAAACGCGTCGAGAATTGAAAAGGGAACGAACCGATGATGCTTCCTTAGCAAATTCATCTGATAAAAGAAAGATAGCCAGATACCTTGATAGTCAATCAGATGTTGGTGTGCACTCGAGTAAACACAAGCATAGCGTGGATGTAGATAAAACTTCCTCGTCTTCAGATGAGATGTTGTCTCATAGTGGCACACTGGTCAGTGACAGCGAGGATGATTCTACCGGTGAGAATGGCGAGTTTCTGCTTGATGTGATAATACAGTTTCATACAAAAGATGCCAAAGGCATGCCGAAGACAAGAGACACGATAGATTTTGTGGATCCTGGTGTCCAGGAAGGTATTTTAATTCAAATTCCGATGCAAGATAATCATCTTTGTCTAGTCTATAGGTCAGTCATGATATGTCGTCTTCATAAATACTTGAATCATTTCTACGATGGCTATTCTTACACTTTCGTATGTACGTATTACGAGTAGCATGATTCTTTGCATAATTTTTTGGTTCAATATCGTTCTGTTGAAAGAGAAATTAAAAAGAAAAGAAAGATTTACGTTTTACGTCCAGCGTCGTTATTTCGTGGCAATCGACCAATTATTTTTTTCTGAATTAAGACATTTTCTTTGCGAGTGAAATAGTTCTCTTTTGAATATAACATTCTAGTTTCATGATTTTTCTTATTGAAGAGAAGCATAAATATATTACATACCATAAATTTTTATGAAACCTGTTAATTTAAGCGAGTGACAATATTCTGAATGAAAACATGAAAAGAGAATAATATATATAAAAAGATATTAGTCGAAACTTTCAAAAATTGTAATGTTTAAATTAAGTATTGTTTAACTATTAATAAATATTTCTTTTTACATTTAGAATCAAATGTATATTTATACGGATCCCTACAAAAATTATTTGTATGAAGAATATTTTCACAATTATATATAAATGATAATTATATATATTATTATAAATTGCTTCATTAACAAATATTAAAAATGAGAAAAAGCAGTTATTCTATAAAATCGTAAATTACATACAAATTATTTTAGCGATTAAGATACAAAATGTTCGATTTATTTTGCGAATTAATACAACATTCGTATAATGTTATTATGTCAGGAGAGAGAATATTTTATTTTTTCTTTAACGAAAAACGTAAAACATATTATTTGCACGCCACGAAGAATGTTTTTATAATTACAATGTAAATTGTTTCATTGACAAATATTAAAAAAAAAAAATTGTGAATAACATATGAATTGTTCTTTTCTCAGTACATAGATATGTTCCAGTCATAAAAAATGTTTCTAATTTTTAGAAAACAAGGTTTTTCCAGTATAGATGCATGTTATACTTTCAAGAAATCATCGATACGTTAGCGATTTATGTGCTTAAGTTATGAAAGTCTTGCAACGATTTTGCTAGAGGTGTAGATTAATATTACAATGCAGGAGACATACAATCGTTTATTGGATGTGGTATATACATGGCATAAAAGAAAATCCTTCGTTTCATTTGCGAGAATCACAGCAAACATAAGGTTCACATGCAGTCGTGAAGTTGAGTGAATATGAGTGCAGCGAGGAAATTGCGTTAGCGGGATGAATATCGAAAGAAAAGTCTCCCTCGCATTTTACACGTGCTGTTTGCAGCATCCGGAAACTTTTCTTTCGCTCATCCTTGAAACTTATGAAACGCACGTAGAAGTTGGGCATTGCGTTTAGTGTACGCGACGGGGAATCGACGTGCACACGCTTCGTCTTTTTTTTTTTTTTTTTTCGAGAATCAATGAAATTTTATACCGATGGGATAAAATCTCCCAAGCCGAATTAGTTGCAGGGAAAAGGAAGAGAAGAAAGAGCGAGAGAAAAGTGAAAGCTTACGCTGTGTGGACGTTCCGGTGGTTACATTCGGTTTCAGGTTCCTGCACTTGAATCCTGGGTCGCGGCAGATTCTGTTGTCCTGTGCCATCCTTAATAGTGGTCTTTGTCGTGATCTGACAGATAATAAAACTTGTTTTAGTGCGAAAATCGCGACGATGCGGCGAGATTGTAACTTAGTACGAAATCGGGATGAATGGCTTAAGGACGCGTTAAGAGTTTAATCGTCCGACGAAATAAATGGAGAGTTTATCCGCCGCGTTTTTCCTCTCATCGTATTCTATTTCGAGCAATCGTGCCGGAAGCTATTAATGGGCGCACCTACGATACAGCTCCGTTCAGGATGACGCCATCGGGCAATCTTTAAGCGATCGTAAATTCGTTCGTTTGATTGATCGTTGCTTAACTACTACAATAAGAAGATCGGACAATCGGTCGAGCTTCAAAATTGTCCCATTTTTTTAATCTGATCGCACGACCTTTCCTTCAACCCTAATTGATATTAGCGGTGGATCCGGACATTTTTTAAAAATTACTTTATGAAAAATTGTTTGTAACAAATGTTTTCCTTATGTAATTTTAAGTTACATAATCTCGGTTTTTGACATTCAAAAAAATCAAATGCTTTCTATCATTCAATTACATTAATTTTAAGTAAAGATGTACATTAATTTAAAGTATACTAATGAATTATTATTGAGATTATTACGAGTCTAATATCTAGAAAAAAAATTAACGATAAATCATAATCTTATTACAATTATTATACTTTCACACTGATTGTGAGAAAAAGTGTTTTGTATTTATGATTATAATTGCATGATAAAATAATTATGATTAAGAGCTCCATTTATACAGTTATTATGCTGTAATGTTAGTAATAATAATTATATTTTTAATATTATACACTAAAAGAAATATATAGTAGGCATCAAAAACGTATTACAATTATTTCCGCTGTCAACTCTATATTCCTTTTGCTGACTTTCCTTACACGAGTCGACGGTCTTATTATCAGACAACGAATTCTTAATTAGACTAATCGATTCGTAATTACACTATCGATTATTGCGCGTGACGAGACGGAACAGGACATTTACGCAGATTACCAATCACCTGGGACGTGGAGGCAATCCCGGCCATCCGTTTCCGCATCTCTGCTGGAAGCTGGCATCGTTCTCCTGCGACTCCTCTCGCTTGCCCCCCTCGATCGATTCCGTCGAGTATTCGACTTGGACCCAGGGACAAATTGTCGGCGACGACTGCAGTGAACCTTTGCTTCCGGGTCGGGACAGGCGCGGGGAGAGTCGTCTCAATAGCGACACAAGTTTCGATCTAAAGCGATACTTTTGTCACTCACCCTCCGGTGATATATGCGACACGAAAAGGGTGACACGCGAGAGAAATATAATATAATGAAAATGATTTATAATTGATAACAAATTTATCAAACTCTTTTTCTCTCTTTGAGGTGTTTGCTACATCACTCTTTCACTTTAAAAGTGTCACGATTAAAAAATATGACTTTGGAATTATTATTACGAATGAATAATATAAGTAAATATTATTTTATCAATCATCAAAAGTGAACTAATTTTAGGCTTTTATGATTATTCACTACGGATATTTAGGTTGACGATGTCAAAAGCGAGAAAACACATAGATAGTAAAAAATTCTGGTAAAATACATTTTTCAATAAATCAATATTTGCATTTGATGGAACACACTTGTAAAATGTAACGAAAACTCTCCTCTTATTTCAAATTAATACAAAATTATATTTATTTCGTTTCGATGGCTATCGTATAGCTTGTTTCGTTTTTTGATTAGACATGTTGTAATTCAGTTTAAAATGTTTTATTTTAATATATTTATTGTCTAATGGAATATAAAGAGATTTTTCGATATATTTCACATATACAAATCTATTCTATCGATGGCCAATGTCACTTCATTAAAAAATATTTACTTTTTAATGTAGTTTTTTTGTAAAAGTTTCCTTTACGTATTTTTCTCGCTTCTGATGCTTCTAACTTTATAAAAAATTGTCATGACTCAAGAAGAATAATTTTAAAAAAATTGTCAAAATTCAAGAAGGGTGGTTAATTTAAGTGGTTGTGCAGTGAAAATGATAAATATGACATTTGATCACATATTAAGTATTATATATATTATTTTTATCGATATTATTTGATTTGTCAATAATTTTCTGTCGAAAGTCGATAAACCGTTTTTCTCCTTTTCTGAGAAACCTAATTTTCTGAGTTGCGTCACTTTTGAAATAAAAAAGCGATGTGGAATTTTAAATGTTCTTTTTTTTTATGTCAATATGTTAATTATATGTATTTTGAATCCCAGAATAAACGGAATCTACGCCGTACAGTTTTCACTTCGCTAATTATTTCATAAAAGTATAATCAATTTATCTTCTTTTTCCGCGGCGAACTGCGTTTCCGTCGAGTTTTACATTCCCATCGCATGTCTTTCGAGCGAATGTTGTTACTCGCTTTGTTTTTTAGCAAATTAATTGCTGTTTCCGATGTAACCGAATACTGCGTTTTCCTGGTATCCACCTCGTTGCGTGTACATACATTGTGTGTATATGACGTTATCGCGATTTGCTTCTCGCTAAACCTCCCCCGCCCTCATCCCATTATTACTGCCCGCTGATTTCTTCTTGATTCGCAAAAGTCTACCGTTATACTTTTCTGCTCGGCGGCCGCGCTCTCAGAGAAGCTTGTCATAAATTATTTGCTTTCATTGCGTGCATGAAACGGGTTTGCACGCGAGGTGCATCGACGTGGATTAGCATACCTCGTGCTCGGTGTCTGAAGATGATCGGAAGTGAGAGGCGTGCTTCTGGAAAGCTGTTCGGCGCTTCGCGTCGCATTTCCCCAGTGGAGTTGGTTGGAGCTGAAAGTGACGGATCTTCCTACTCTCCAGTCTAGGCTGCTGCTCTGTCTGGCTTGTAGATCTGGAAAGAAAAAGAACGAAAAATGACCGATCGAAGATCTAAAATCACGACTTTCCACAAGTCGCATCCGCATTTCCCTCGGAAATTACGAAAATATTTTACTCGTTTAACTAATTTAATTAATTTAATTTAATCTATCTAATTAAACTTAATTTAATAAACATTTTCCTTTATATGGAGGATGAATGAAAATAGGAATTCAATTTTTTTAATTGAAATGACAACTTTTTAGTTGCTTTTAAAAAACGAAATATAAAGAAGAAAAGACAAAAGACTTTAAAGAATATACTTTAAAAGAATATATACTTTTATTTCTCTATAATAAATTATTATACCAACATTGCATTTTAAAACATTACAAATTTTAATGACTCAAAATATTCAAACTTTTTTTTTGGAAAACTGTTTTTTCTTAGCTATATTGTAGTAGCATGTCTCTTTAAATAAAAAAAGTTTTTTTAAATGGGCTTAATGTATGTAAGTTATATCAAGAGAGAAATTTAGATGTGCAATTATCAAGAAAAAAAAAATAAAAAAGAAAAAAAAAAAAAACAAGCCGTAATTGAATGACCGACTCCTGAGTTCTCCAGTTCGTTAACTATGTTATGAGTCACAGTTAATGAATTACCTTGTTCGTTGGCATTCTGGTTGACTCTCCAGTCCAGAGAATTACTATTCCTATTCACGCTATAAATGTTATCACAGGATTTGGTGGCAAGGCATGTCGCATTATGACGACGTCTCAGCAGTCTTGATACTGGTCCCA